GCGGAAAGTAAGGTAGTGGGCGGTGTTCCTGGCAAAATGCCAGAATTAACTTCCATAGCAGCCCAGACGCCGGCGAAGGTGAGGGATAGATCAACAAGTGAGGAGAGGTAGAACCACCGGCGGTGGGCTGGGCGTTCTCGCAGTGAGCGGTACTTACCACATAAGACCATGACTCGATACAACGGAAGCATGGAGACCAGAAAAAAATGGAGTGAGCAAGGCCTCATGGGTAGAACATGTCCGCTCCGCCCACAATGGGTGATGCGTGCATTGAAATGGTAGGTCCTTTTTGAAAAAACTCATAACTCTGTTCAAAAATGTTCTACAACGTGGGAAGTAAGTGGGTAGAGGCTATAGAAGAAATGTCAAATCCCTGGAGTGGGCGGGGCTTGCAAACTCCGCTCAAAAACGTTCCAGAACGCGGGAAAAAGTAGTTGGAGGTAAGAGAAGAAATGTGGTACAATACGTGACTGCAGTTTGCACAGGGGTGGGCAGTACTAGGCTCGAAAATTCACTAAATATGATTGAAAACGTTCTAGAACGCGGAGGAAGTGGTTAAAGGCAGCTAAATAAAGGTTGGTCGAATTTTCATAGCGGGTTCATAGTGTTTCATAGTGGTCATTTACGGTTTTGTCGTCCTTCTCTAACCCTGTTGGCCAAATACCGGGTTATAAGAATGAGCGACAGCTGTGTCCATCTAGTCTGCATCAAGCAACTCTTAGTGGATGGATTCCTTCAACCTCCATAAAAATAAGGGACGATGCCTGCGTACTTTGGAGGCTAGTATCTCCTGCAGTGAAGCATCCGAACGATTGTTGATCGCTGGTGGTGAGCAGTGCTACTTTCGATTAGGTTGCTGATATTATGAGCCGCTACACTTGCGTTTCTCGCTTGGCGTGCTTATTAGAAGGTGATGTTACGAATCGGGTGTTGACAATTCATTGACCATAATGCTGGGAACGCCCACAGGCACGCCTTATTTACTCATGTGTTGATTGCCCAGGGAATGTCCTACAAGTTTATCACCCTTGCTGCTGTGCTGGTACAAATTTTTTACGCTTCACATTTTTTTTGTCGCAGAACTTTCTTTCCAACCTAATATATACAGGATGTCCCGAAATTATGGGCGAAAAAAATCAGAAACCTATATGGTAGAAGTAACTTATCAAGTTCAATCCAAACGCTGTTAGTTAGTTGCACAAGTAGATTTTCTTGCAATATGCATGGTCACTAAAGTGAAACTCCCAATATCGTTTGAATGGCGGAGGCTCATTCAATGCCACATGCAATCACTGGCATGCGAAGGGCGGAAGGGCATTATAAAATTTCTTGTGATTCCTATTATATCCGTGCAGGAAGCCATTAAACGTTGCAGAGAAGAAGATTCAGTCAAAGACAGACCAGGAAGTGGTTTGAGGGACCAGTGTTCGAGAGCTTCGATTGTTAAAATAGTCCGCTTGCGAGTCGATCGTGATAATGGGTGACCCATGAAGACGTCAAAGGAGCAGGTTTTATCAAAGTTATCGGTGAGGCGGATTGTCTATCAAAAGCTTCATTACTCATCGTATGCAGGAATGTCGCTTCGTTTCCGATTAAATAGACAGTGTAGGGCCAAAAAATGCAGGAAGTTGCTAATTCACTGGAGTGGAGAAACGCAACCCTTCATCGTTTCTCTTGCTGGAAAATTTTAACGACGAAACCATTCCTCAACAAATAAAACGATCACGTTCATCCTATAGATATCGAACGTGCAATCTCTCACAAAAAAGTCTTTGAGAAAAGTAAAATGATGCTCATTGAGAGAGTCACTGACAAGGGTAAGACGCACGTGACTTCGTGTGTGGAAATTGGCAAATACCTGTAGTCAAAGAGCATACTGAACAGGACGAGATGAAGCACTGATTCGACTCTGCTTCCTGAAGCAGCTCGGTGGTACAGTACTCCGGCCCATAGAGCCAGGCTCACTTGGGAGTAGTGTCGGCGCTAGCTGCCTGACTTTATTAGCAAGGAGGACTGGCCATCCTGCTCTCCAGGTATCAACTTACTTGACTCCTCCGTATGGTCTCTCGTTAGAAGAACTGTCAAGTTTGCAATCCCGCTTCGGAATCCTAGAAAGCAAGGCTAGAAAACTTGTGGGAGGAAATGGAGGAGGATACCTGCGTGCAACTCGCAAGGAGTTCGAGGGCAAACTTTGAAACTTTACTCGCGCGAATGGGGGATCTTTTCAAATGCGATTGTAGCATTGTAGCACATAGTATTAGCAAACGTGCATTTATATTACATTGTCATTCTCTGCCGATAGGCTTTAAATGATTGCCATGAGCTGGCGCCCATAATTTTGGGACATCCTGTATATATGCATATATTTTATATGTGTACAAACACGCACAAACCATGCTCTTCTGAGTTTCTTCTGACCTCCACGCTTTTATGGGAGATTGTCGTGAATTTGCCTAGAATTTGCGGTTAATTCTCTATCGCCTGAGTTGTTAACCCATTCCTGACCCCTGCCCGTTTTTTCCCGGTATCTGTACCCATCTGGAACCAAAATAAGAATTTTTGCCTCCGATACCGCCCATTCTGGCGCATGTCCCGTCCCCTCCCCCCCCCCCCCCCCCCCCCCCCCCTCTCCATAGAAGGGGTTCCCCTGAGCTCGTATACGTTGTGTTGATCTTCTCCTAACCCCACCTCTCCAAAACATGACCGAGTTATTTGAGAATTCGATTAATACTATGGTACTAAGGTGGGGGTATTCTTCAATATCATCGAATTCGTCATTATCATCTATGGCAACGGAAATTTAAAGGTGCTCACGTATCTCCATTGTGCTCTACAGTGACTCCCATCATAGTGACGAGCTACTTGTGTTAGGTCTCATCAAAAGTTATAGGCGACTCTCCGGCGCGTGTCGCGTGCAAGGACCTTGGCCCATTGCCGAAAACGCGGCAATGCGCAAAGATCATATCGAAACGTGTTTTTTGCCTTTTGGGTCATGAGCAAAAGCTGTAGCGATCGCAACTGTTAGGGATGGGAAGATCGCTTGAACATTATATGTTGAGAAAAAGTGGGCTTCTCATTTTCGAGGTGAAGATAGATGGTTTATAATATTTCAGTTTCGCAAAGACCCCTGTGACATTCGAAAGTGATAGAAGCAGAAATGGTAGGCGACTGTTACTTTGTTCCTATTATGATGGTTAAATCTGAGTTAAGTTGAAATCGAGAAACGCATCTTTGCTCTTTAATAAAGCTTGTATAAGAATAAGCAGTTTCAAGCGACAGTTAACGTACATGAATACAGAAAAGAAAGCAGAATGCATAGCGAATACGCGGGAATCATTGAGTAGGAAGAGGGGAAAACATGTTCTCACATGATTTTGGCCCATTGCCGCATTTTAGGCAATGGGTTAAGTGCCGCGCACGCGACACGCCCCGGAGAGCCGCCTATATTTTTACATAAGACCCTTGCGTTGTGTGCTAATGACAACTTCAATACATGCCGGTGAATCCTCGTAAACGATCTAATTCAGAATGTCGTATCACCGTAACTACTACTACTCGCCATCGACGAATAAACTTTTAGGCCCCTTAGGCCACTATTTCTGCCTATTCTACAACACGGAATTCCACTGTGAAATGTGATCAGATCTGCTGTGGATCTCAGTTTTATTAGGAGATTAAACATCTCTTTGAAGTGCAACGACGGAGCCAACGATGATTCGTCGATGAAGTTTTTTCTATATTGTCTGTTGATAGCCTTTCTTCATTATAGACCTGTATGTTGCATCAATTAGTATTCATCTAACCACCCAGTAACTAGTGATCATGTAACTCTTTTAAAGCACAGTTTACGATAGTTCTAGGTACCTTCTTCAGATAAAGTAAAGGAAAGGGGTAAAGGCGTAGAGTAGTGCATCGGCGCCGAAGAAAGCACGGAAAACGGCCAAACTAGAGGATTATAACCAATCGAAAAAGTAGTGAAAAAGAGTGTGCGAAATTATGACAGTAGATGTTGCGTAGAAGAAATGCATGCAAAAATTTATTTACTGTTAGTCAACACGCAACAATAAGATGGACTACAAGTGTTCTCAACATCTAATAAGGTCAAAGGTTGTGCTGACCGAACAAAAATTCACCGACGGCTTCAAAGTTATCTGTGGTACAGCGTACGAGAATAAAAACAACCGTAAGCGAAAACAACCTACTTTTCTCTTTCGGTTAGCGTAGAAAACTAAAAAATAGTCGAGCTGCGGGCAGCAGAACGGCAGAGCACTAAAGACTAGGGAATACAAGGACTAGAGTAAAACATCCATTCATTCCTAAACTATCACATAATTAATCTGTCAGCATGTCGGCTCCATTTTGAATGGTGTAGCTTCTTCAAACTCGCCATAACTTTTGGCTTTGTACGTCGGCCAAGCCAGCTTTTGAGCCCTCATGTCTCTCTAGGCCGTCTTTTGACCCGACACACCCGTGTGCTATCCTTGCGGAAGAGGCATAGGAACATCTTAAGGAGTTCTCGGAAAACATCTTCAGCGTAAACTATCCCTTTGATCTTCGTGGAGGAATTCAATAGTACACGAATCTAAGGAGGAGATCGCTTGTTTTGTTGCCGTTGCTAATTGGCATGATTTTTGGCAAAGCTTTCAGGTGATCCCTCCACCGTATCTACAAGGATTAGATACGGCCAAATGCGCGAGGATCGCGCACGAAAGCGCAGAAACAGTGACTGCGACCCAGCGTCGATGTCTCTATCTGTCGTAGCACCTCCAACGTACACACTGTCACAGGTGATTTGCTTCAGCTCTTTTTTATTTTTATCGTGATATGAAGTGGGTAGGGAAAAGGCTACATGAGTATCCATTTATTTGAGAAGCATTCTCACTATTGAATGAATTCATCGACCGTCATTCTCTTACCTCCTACAGTCCCGTACACCTTTACTTTTTTTGGAATTCCAAATGTATTTTTTTGCCTGATAGAGCTTCGATATAGAGTAAGACATGGTGAGCAATTGTCCTACAAAAGCATATGGATGAATGTGTTTGGAATTTGTGCCAGCGCGACTTCTTCATGTTAACCTTTTTCCGAACAGTAGTGGATCATCGCACTTGAGGGTGGTAGTGTAGGGAGCAGCGACTTTCCATCATTATCTTCCTTTCTAAAACTTCGTTTTGAATAATGCTAGAACTTGTTAGATTTCTGTTTATGGGGAGAGCGAAAAGTCATTTGTTTGGAACTATGGTCGGTCGCTGCATTCGGTAGTGAACAATGATGTCCTTTCCCAACGGTCCATATGCAGAAATAATTACTGTTGAGTAGTGATCATCCGCCAAAACCAGTGCAATGTTCATTACAAACTATCAGCTATATCGCCCGGCTTAGGCCCCCGTCCCTGCTTTTTGTGTTGGAGTTGGATTGCGTTATCCTTTTTGCCTTTTGGCTTCCAAAAAAATCAAGTATACACAATAGTAGCCAATAACAAGTAGTACGAACCGGCGCTGACCGCAACTGGTTGGCCAATGCCCATCGCTACATTTACAACTATGCTTTCGCCACATCCCTTCTATCCCTTGGGGTTTGAACACTGAACATCTGAAGGGGGCGAAACTATGGTTATTTACACAACAGCTCGAAATATACTTTGTATCGAAATCATACCAACAGCGTGAATTTTACCACACCTGAGCATTCTAGGACCAAGGGGAGTAAAAATGCGAATCAACGGTCATTCGCACACCAAGAAGCCGATAGTCTTGCAATCATTTGTATGCAAGAAGCGGAACGGCAGTGTCAAAGTTTTTGTGATTTCAATAACTGAAGTACACGAGGGTATTGAACGATACAATGAAGTAGAATCAATCGAGGACGAAACTGGTATAAGTTGACAGAGCAGAGTTTCCATAAACAAGTTTATAAAAAAATAATCCGTTTGAGGATCCATCGTGGTCCTGGGTGACCCATCAAAATATGCACAGCTTAGCAGGACTTATCGAGGTTGTGGAACAGGTGGATTATCAGGTGGAATCTTCATTCCCTTGCAGTCGTATGCAGAATGCCTCTTCATCTCCGGTCTAAATAGAGAGCTTAGTGTCAAAAATGCAGAATCTTGCTGCTTTCCTGTGCGGAAAACGCATCCCTTCATCGTTTATTCTGGCGAGAAATTTTTCACTACAAAGTCAATCTTCAACAAAAAAATTTCGAGACAGAATAATTGAGAATGCAGTCTGTAACGCAAAGTTGTTGTAAGAGTAGCAAAATGGTGTTTACTGGGGAAATCACGAGAGTAAGACGCCAGTGGTTTCGTCGGTGAAAATAACAAAGATGTGTACTCAAAAAGGCATTTCGTTGGACGTCTGGAGTGCTGAATCGACTTCGCTTTCTGAAATAGCCCTTGGCCTTCCCGGCATGACGGTACTCCAGCCCACAGAGCCTCGTCCTAGAGTGAAGCCGACGTAAGCTGCCTGACTTTGTAAGCAAAAAAGAAGGACCGATCTGCTCTGCAGATTTCAACCCGTTGGACTCCTTCATGTGGTCTTTGATTACGAACGAGAGAACCTGTCGGGGTTGCCATCCTAGTTAGGATTCCTTGAGAGTAAAACTTAAGAACGACTGGGAAGAAATGGAGTAGGGATACCTGCGTGCAACATGCTAGGAGTCTGGGTCTGACTTTGGGCCTCTATCCTTTCTAATGGGGATATTTTGTGATTGTAGCCCGTTGTTGCGCATAATGTAAGCAAAAGTGCATATAAATTCCAGTGCCCTTCTCAACTTAGAAGCTTCAAATACATTACAATGAACTGGCGCATATAATTTTGGGGCACCCTGTATATATAAGTAAATAACATGTGAGCCTAGTAGAGCTGCGGCCATAGAAACCGAGATATGTGCTGACGTTGGGCGGTGCCATGGGCAAAACTGATATTTTATTTTTGTCTCATAACAGTTCAGACGCGGAAAAAATGAATACAGCTGTGGGATGGTTCCACAAGTGCAATGAAGTAGACCAACAGGCGATGGGTTGGTCTACTTCATTGCACTTGTGGACCCATGCCACATCTGTATTCACTCTGGGGAGCGTTTTCACCATAGGCGACAGGCTCATAGTGAGACTCAACGAAAGCGTGGGGGCCCTTAAAAATAAAAGGAGTGAACAAGACCTTACGCGTGCTGTTTATGTATGTATGTATGCATGTATGTATGCATGTATGTATGTATGTATGTATGTATGTATGTATGTATGTATGTATGTATGTATGTATGTATGAACTCGGTTCGGAAACGTTCTAGGATGCGGGGAAAAGTGGTAAGATGTAATAGAAGAAATGTCGTCATACCCAAGAAGTGGGTGGGATTTGCATTCAAAAGGGCGGGCCCCGATCAAAAATTCATAACTTTTTCCAGAGATGCTTCCACTCTGAACCTGGGACCTTCGAATTTGGAACGAGTGCAAGCACAAATAGTGTGTAGTAGAAAATGATTGAACTGGATCCAGTCCTCCGAGGCGTAGGGGAACTAGGGGGCGGACCATGGGTGAAATGAACGTAATTTGAGTGAAAACACGCAATCAAGTTGGATGAGAGGGGACGAACCATGTTACTGGATCTTGAGCAAGATTTCGCTCATGGCGGTCAAAGCGCGCGCAAAGTGTGCCGGTATGTGTATCCCTGTAAATCAATATCTCCTGATTTCTCGGAACGGAACTTTTAAACTTGGGAGAGTGGCGGGTCATTTCGAACACAATAGGAGGGGAGCCTGCTGTCGGCCGGGTATGTATATAGGTCAGATGGCCCGGCTACCGACCTGCTCTCCTCCTTATGTTATGGTTGAAATGTATTACTGAGGCCTGTCGTGTGCCCTCCTCATTCCGAAATGTATTACTGAGGCTAGTCGTTTACCCGCTTCATTCCTTGAAAAGATTAGCGGATAGTAGCAGCCCAATATCCTGTAGTACAAAATTACACTGGGCAAAATCGTTTACCGTTTCCCATTACTACATTTACAGCTGTAGTTCCACCACATATCCTCAACTTTCTCAGAGTTGGTACAATGTACGACTGAAGGGAACATGTACGCGGTTGGTCAGTCAGTTACACAGCAAATCGATATTGCTGATTGGTATATCGGCCAACAACATAGCCTAGTCCCACCACAGGTGAACGATACATCTGAAGGGAGCAAAGCTGTGATTTAATAGCCCATAGGGCCGTATGCATAACGCCGAGGGTGGGGAGGGGAGTCTCCCCAGGAAATGACTGCGAAGGGCGCGAACGTTCAAATGACCTTTTTGATTTGCCTTGGGTTAGATAAGGGGCGGTGGAGCGAAAAAGCTTACGCAAAGCTTATCAAGCGAGAAGGGTGTGGATAATATGTTAATAAATAATACCCGTGTACGCGCCGTCAGCTGGTTACCCCTAGTGTGAAAAGACGAGTTTATTCTGGGCTGTGACAATGCCATCAAAGGGGACCATCTCACCACAGGTGAGCTAAATGGCACATTAGCACAAAAGGGGTGGCTCAAAAACGGTACACTGAGCTAGAGGAATAGGAATCGGAAATCGAGATAGTGCGAAGGTTCTTGACTTGGCTGCGACCCATAACCTGGCTGTCTGCATCGCATTCTTCCCAAAAACGTCACTCAAAAGGTCGCTACAGCAGGCGGGAATAGTTCATGTGCTCGTAAGAAGGTCTTCCCTTGAACTGAAGGATATCAAGGTATTGCTTGCCAAAGAAGTGCCCCGACCGCACCAGGTTCTCCTAGCAGACGTAACCAACGAGAACTTAGATAAGAACTACCTGAAATCTGCGTCATGTAGGTCCTCAGTCCAGCAGGCTTTGAGCAACTCTATGTAACTATCTTGCTGTGTGCAAGGCAAGCGCTAGAGGAAATTCGGGGTGGATCCTATGGTGGATTCGTGGTTCTAAAGCGATCAATTCCAGGGAGTTGTGAAGCGGGAACCCTCCACAAGGACTGGCAAGCGAGGCGAACTCCGGAAGACGTAGCTGCTTACAAAGCAGCCGTAGCGGAGGCAAAGAACATAGAACTAGACGCCTTGTCGAGTAGCTCACAGTCGAGAAGGGAGCAAACTCGTCTTCCGATCGCCTAAAATCCGGAAAAGTCCAAGACGTCGGGTTATTGAGATACTCAATGGAGACGTGTACAGTGCGTTTTATTATTTTAAGGTCCCTTTGCCTTTTCAGGAGAAGCGATTATTTAGGATTTTTTTCTAGCATCATGAACGGATCCCCCAGCACGAATAATCTAGGCATCCGTTTTTCAGCAGCAGCTGCATTTCTCTAAACTTTTTACGAAAGTTTATCGGTTTTTGCACTGTTTCATAGTTATAAGGTCACCCTGAGAAAGTGAACAATTACCCATGGAGGAGAAGAAATTTCGCCTTCCAAGATACTTATAAAGGTAAGCATGTGCAGCAAACGCATCTCTAAACCTGACTGTTAACATGGTTCGTGATCGTCCGCTTTCTTCTTATGAGAAGACTCAAGTTCGTGCTCTTCATGGAGTTGGGCTCAGTAAACGAGATATCTCCAGGTAAACAGGGAGATCCCTCTGTTCCATCCAAGACTTCTGAAGAGCCTTGATGTCACTAGATGTAACACCACCTGTGGATGCCCACGCAAGATTACTGCCCGTGACGATCAGAAGATTCTGACAAGGAAGGTCTTCCAGGGCGTAGGACGCTTTTTGAAAATGGTTTTTTGCATGGTATAGGGGCATAAGCACTGAGTATAGAACTATGGTCCATTCCGCTAAATGAACTACTGAATGCCAAAAAAAGTGAAAATGATTTTGCCAGAAATTGCCGTTTTACCCCACTAAGCGTCGTTCATTTCGTTCATGGCGTCGACGTTCCGCACAGTAGAAGGGGCCAGTGGAGGCGACATTGAAAATAACGTGAACGGTAGTCAAAAAAGGGAGCTACATGTTAAAAAGTGCGGGAAGTTTCATATGTGCTCTCCACGATTCAGCTGCTAGCAGCGACCGATGGTGTGGTGGGAAGCGATGTGGACTTCGAGTTTGGACGACTAGGCTGGGTTGATGGTTCGGATTCCCGAGGCTCTGCCGTTTTTGCTGCCACCTCCAAATTGGCTCCATATTGCACCAGAGCGAAGCAAGTGGTTGACTGGCCATGGTCGTAACCAGGGCCAGCGATAACCTATTTGAGCGATACCCAGCGATAACCGTTAGAATTTGATGTGTGGAGCACTATCAGTGAAGGAGCTTCCAGGCTTCACACTCCCAGGGGTCCCCTTCCCCTCTTCCTCCCCCCCCCCCCGC